ATCCAAACATCCTCCAAGATCCAATCACGATCCAAGATCCAACCATCATCCAAGTCCAGGAACCGTCCAATCCTCTCAGGAACTCACCTCCAGCAGCGCCATTTTCCAAACCTCATCCCAAACCCCTCCCGAGGTGTCTCTGGAAAAACCAGTCCTGAAATTCCCGGCTCCCCCACCCTCCTGCCCGTGCCGGCGTTCCCATTCCCGCCGGGAGCTTAGGTCAGCTTCCTCATCCTGCGGTTCTGCCGGTCGATGGTGAGCGTGGCACGATCCACGGAGCTGCTGATGGAATCCAGGGCCTCGTCCTGCCTTTCCAGCTCCGCCTCCGTCTCCAGCGCCAGCCCCTTCAGCTTCTTCAGGATCTGCCGGAGGGAAACACGGAGAGCGTGCGGAACAACGGGATAATTCCTGCTCTGACATCCCAGAATCCGGGTGGGAAGGGATCTTAAGGATCATCCAGCCATGGGGACATCTCCCACTATCCCAGCTCCAAGCCCCAGCCTGGCCTTGGACACCTCAGGGATCCAGGGGCAGCCACAGCTGCTCTGGGAATTCCAGCCCAGCCCCTCCCCACCCTCCCAGCCAGGAATTCCCAATTCCCAATATCCCATCCAGCCCTGCCCTCTGGCAGGATATTTTTCCCGTTATAAAAAAAATAAAATAAAATGAAATAAATAAAAATCAAAGAAATAAAGTGTAGAAGAAGGAATAAAATAAAAAAAGTTCTGGAATGTTCTACCCGGGGAGGAGGTGGAGTCCCCATCCATCCCTGGGTGTGTTTAACAAAACCTGGATGTGGCACTGGGTGCCAGGGTGGAGTTGGACCCGATGATCTTGGAGGTCTCTTCCAACCCGCTCATTCTGGGAATTCTGGGAAATTCTGGGAAATCTCATCCCCATTTTCACCTGTCGGAGCTCCTTGGCTTCCTCCTGGGATATTTTCTGCAGCTGCACCTGCTCCTTGTCCGTCCCTTCGGCGCTGCCCGCCGGCAATCCGGGATTCACCGCGGCACCCAGGAATCCCGTGGCTGCCAGAAAAATTCCACGTTAAGGAAAAATTCCTGCCTGGAAAGGAGGGGAAGCTTCAGCAATTCCCAGAGAAGCTGAGGAATCCCTGGGAATGTCCAAGGGTAGCTTGGGATAACAGAATTGCTGCTCGCGGAATCCTTAAGGATTGTTCCGGAATTCTGGAAGCGGTTGAGCTGTGCTTTGCTCCATGGGAATTTGGGAGGAATCAGGATCCAATTTTTCCCATTAAATTCTGGTTTGCTGGGAATATTCAAAGTGTATTCCTTACAACTTCCCTTTATTCTTCTCTTTTTGTTTGTAATTTTCTCTTTATTACTTCTCTTTTATTTTATTTTTTCCTCATTTCACTTTATTTCATTTTATTTATGTTTTGTTATTTTATCTTTATTTTTATGTCACTTAATGTTGTTTTCTTTTTTAAGTCATTATTATTTTTTAAATTTTATTCCATATTTAGGGAGCCTTTGGAAAACCAGATCATTTGGAATGTGAGGATTCATGGGAGCAGGGCAACACATTCCCAAATCCACAAAGCAGGATTATCCCAGGATTTGGGATGGACCTCAAGGATGATCCCATTCCACAACTCTCACTATCCCAAGCTGCTCCAAACTTTCCTTGGACACTTCCAAGGATCCACAGCTTCTGTGGGAATTCCATTCCAGGCAGGAATTGCTTCCCAAATATCCCATCTATCCCAACCACTCTTCCTTAGGAAAAGCTGCCCTGAAAGCACCAAAGCCTAAATCCCTCTCCAGAATTCCTACAAATTCCCAATCCTTGCAATCCCCGCATTCAGCTTCCATCCAATGAAAAACAAGGAATTTTTTCCATGTTATCCTTGTTTTCCAAAGGGGGAAGAACCAGGCATTGTTTATTTGGGATACACTTGCTGCATTTCATTAGGAAAAGTGGGAATGACAGAATTCCCCAGAGAATTCCCAAGAGCCATCTGTTAATTATTCCATGAAAATCAAGGCCGCCATCCTTCCCAACCATTCATCCCACTGAGGACAGGAGGAATTCCTGGAATAAGGAAGAAAACACGGGAATGCCAAGGTGGGAAGGAGAGCTGGAATTCCCAGGACATTTTTAGGGATGGAACTGGTTGAAAATCAGAAATATTTGGGGTTATTTCTGTCAAAGACAAAAATCCACCCAATTTTTCCAGGAATTCCTGGAAAATCCAAATGATCAGGGAATTTGTTCACAAGGATAAGCAGGGCAATTAAAATTATCTCCAGGGATAAAAATCTGAGAATTTTAATTTGGGAATTAATCTGGAATTTAATCCAGGATTAAGTTGTCCTAAATGATGCCACTGCAAATGGAATTTAGGATTTGAATCCAGGTTTTTAATCCTGGGAATTCTCAGATGGTCTTTGGGATAAAATTGCATCAAAGCTGTTCCAAAATTACAATGTTTATCCCAAAAAAAAAAAGCTGGGAAAAAGCGTAAAGCAGCTAAAAAATCCAGAAAAAATACTGATAGTAAATAATAATATTAATTTTAAAATTAAAAATAATATTAATTTTAAAATTAAAATAGCCAGTAGGTTTTGGATAAAAATAATTCCCTAAATTCCTTTTCCACGTGGAATGAAGCCAAAATGGATTTTTTTGGGAATTTAATTCTATAAATTTATGCATAAACCAAGGGCAGGATTGGTGTAAACAAAAGGTCCAAGTGGGATTGTGGCAGTTTTGAGGGAAAATCCAGATTTTTCCCAGAGATTTCCATGCCCTACAAGGATATTTATCCCAAAAATCCTTGGATCAATTCCCTATTGGAAAACACGGAGACGGGACCAGAAAAAACTGATTTTTTTCCCTCCTGATTTGAGAAAAATGGCAAAAAAAGAAGGAAAAAAATCAGTTTTCCATGGAAAAATCCCAAAGTATCCCACACAGTCCGTGAGTGCCACCTTGTGACGGAATGGGAACAGCGACAAATCCAAGGAAAACACAAATAAAATGGGAAAAGTCAGGATTTCCATCAGCTCCCCTCTGCTTCCCAAGATTTTCTAAATTAAGTAGGGAAGGAGAACAAAATCCAGCTGGAAAACAGCAGGAAAACCTCTGGAAAAGGGCTGGAGATCCGATAAGTTTCCTGGAATCCCATCGGGAACCGAGATTTTTTTGGAATAACACAAAATTCCAGAGGCCAAAATTCACTTCCTTAAAAAAAATCAAGGAGCTTTTCCAAGCTGGAATATTCCTCAAAACCAGGATATTCCCTTCCTTGCTGGAATTCCAATCAGAAATTGGTGGATTTATGAATTTATCCCGATTTTCCCGTTGTTTTTGGCACTGGATACATCTTTTCTTTGCTACTTTGGGATTAAAAATTAGGGAAAACAAAAACAAAAAGGGTTCAGGGATGGTGGGAGGAATAAATTCCAAGCTGTTGAAAATTCCCAAGGTTGGGTTAAAAAAACCCATCCTGGAATTTTAGGATTAGTAGTAGGGAATATCAATTTTCTTGTTGGGAATTTTCCAAATTTCCAAAATACTTTTCCAAAGTTTTCTTAAAATTATTCCAAAATCTCTGCAATTCCCACACCTGGGCTTGTCTTATATCAAAATCCTGGGTTTTTAATCTGGCAAAATCAGTTTTTTATCCCATGTTTTAATTCAAGATTCCTGGATATTGGGGGTAAATATTCAGGATTTAAGGGAATTAAAGATTTAATATAAATACTGGATATTGGACATGGGATATGGAATATGGGATATTGAATATGGGATATTAAAACACTGGATATGGGATGTTGGATATGAGATATTAAATATTGGATACTGGATATGGGATATTGGATATTTATTATTGGATATGGGATACTGGATATTAAACATTGGATATTGCATACTTGATATGGGATATTAAATATCATACATTGGATATGGGGTATTGGATATGGGATACTGGATGTGGGATATTAAAACTTGGATATAGGATATGGGATGTTAAACCTTGGATATGGAATATCCAATATCAATTACGAAATACTGGATATTGGATACTGGATTTTAAATATTGGATATTGAATATTGACTATTGGATGTGTGATATTGGATATAGGACATGAGATATTAAATATTGGATTTGGGAGATTAAACACTGGATATGGGATAGTGGGTGTGGAATATTGGATATTAAACATTGGATATGGGACATTAAACCTTGGATACGGAATATGCAGTATCAATTATGAAATACTGAATTTTAAATATGGGATATTGAATATTGACTATTGGATGTGTGATACTGGATATGGGACATGAGATATAAAATTTTGGATCTGGGATATTAAACACTGGATATGGGATAGTGGATGTGGACTATTGGATATTAAACATTGGATATGGGATATTAAACCTTGGATATGGAATATGCAATATAAATTATGAAATAATGGATACTGGATTTTAAATATGGAATACTGAATACTGACTATTGGATGTGTGATATTTGATATAGGACATGAGATATTAAATATTTGATTTGGGATATTAAATATGGGATATTACACATTGGATATGGGATATTGGATATTAAACATTGGATATTGGATACGGGATATTGGATATTAAACATTGGATATTGGATACGGGATATTGGATATTAAACATTGGATATTGGATATGGGATATTGGATATTAAGCATTGGATATTGGATACGGGATATTGGATATTAAACATTGGATATTGGATACGGGATATTGGATATTAAGCATTGGATATTGGATACGGGATGTTGGATATTAAACATTGGATATTGGATACGGGATGTTGGATATTAAACATTGGATATTGGATACGGGATATTGGATATTAAACATTGGATACGGGATATTGGATACTGGATATCAATTAGCGGGTATTGGATAGTAATTATTGGGTGTTAATTATTGGCTATTGAATATTGGATATTCCCTTCCAGCTGGGAATTCACTGCAGGAAAAGCAGCAGCAGTGCCAATGGCTCTGGAGTTTATTCCTTGGATTTATCCTCGCCACGGACTTCTCTGCGGGGCCGATTTGCCTCTGGAGCGCTCCTTGGGAAAAACCCTTTGGAATCCGCTGGCACCCACCTGCCTGCCAGATGGACGCGCCCAAATCCGCCCGAGGAGACTTCCCGGCTCCTCCGGCAAATCCCAGAGCATCCTCCAAAAACTGGATCTTCTTGCTGAACTGCATCTCCAGGATGGGAATGGCCTCGGGCATCCGCGCCGCCAGGAGCCGGTAGGAAGTGTCGGGCTTGCCGATGAACCTCTGCCGGACGCTGATCTCGTAGGGAGTGTGCACACGGATATCGTCCACATCCCGGGATTCGAAGCGGTGCAGCAGCTGGGAATTGCAATCCTCGATTTCCAGGCCGGAGGGAAGCAGCGTGAGCTTGCCCGGTTTGGCGCTGGAGTCCGTCCTGTGGGTGATAATCACGGGAATTCGCAGCAGGATTCCTTCCTGCGTTTCGGGATCGGGAGCTGCGGGGCTTTCCTTGGGCTTCGCTTCCAGAGGGGTTTTCCAGAGTTTGGTGCTGAAGGGCCACCAGGAAGGAGATTCCAGCTCTGTCAACAGCCTGGAAGGAGGAAGGGAGGGTTGGGAGAGGGAAAAGCTCTGGGTATTCCAGCAGTTCCAAAAAAATCCCCACGGACATGGAAATTCCTTAATCCCTCCTCAAACCCATCCACAATTTCCCAGGATGCAGGCAGATCAAACCCCACCTTCTCCTCATAATCCTTTGGAAAAAATCCCCGAATCCCAGCTGGGAAGGAAGGAATGAAATTGGGTTTTTCCAGGCCCATTTCCATGTGCCTGTTCCTCAGTATTCCCACTCCTGCCCAGCCATCCATCACCACTTCCAAGGCCTTTCCCTGTCCCTTTTCCTTTACCCCCTTTGCTCCACACCCAAATTCCCAGATAAAACACTGAAAATTCCAGATCGAGGCTCCAAAATCCAGCAGACACTTCCCAGAAGTGTCCAGACCCCACCTTTCCAGCAGTGTTGGTGCAGCTCCCTAAGGAAAACATTCCCAGCAAACAGGCAAGGGAGCCAGGGCTGGAATTGTTCAGCTGCAGCGCCTGATCCAAATACAAGGAAAATATTCCTGATTTTTTCAAGGGAAAACCGAAAATAAACATCCCTAAAATCCCAATTTAATTCTGTTTTCATTCCCTGGTTTTAAGCCCATTAAAATCTAGAGATACTCCCAGGAATTCCCTGCTCCATAAATTCAATAAAACCTGGGAAGAGCCCTCTG